GTCCAAGAGGAAAGAGAGACATAATTACAACACATTAGTAAACACAAGAGAATGAATGATGTGAAACATGATACAGTGAGTAAGTAACACCTAGGGTTGGGACCAGAAGGACCAGAAGACTTAAAAAGTAAAGAAAGAAAAAAAGAAAAAGTGATAACAAAAAAAAAGAAAAAAGGCAGACAGTGCTTATGTTGTATCTTGAAAAATCAGTAGACTCTGCCAGCAAGACAATAGAAGGAAAAGCATTCTAAACAGTAGAAAGAACATATGTGAAGGCTCTGAGTCAGGAAACAGCATGGCTCATTCAGTAAACCGCTCGTATTAGTACAGGTGGAACTGGAGATTTATGGTGGGGGAAATGCATAAGATGAGCCAGATGATGAAAGGCCTTGTAATGATAGAGAGTTGAGGCTGATAAAGAACCAGGGTAGGGGTGGGGAGAGAGAACATCAGGAAGAGAAGAATAGCTAATGGATGCTGGGCTTAATACCTGGGTGATGGGATGATCTGTGCAGTAAACCACCATGGCACATATTTACCTGTGTAACAAACCCCCCTGCCCATTCTGCACATGTACCCCTCAACTTAAAAGTTGAAATATAAACGATGATAAAATAAGCAAAGATAAAAAAAACGACTTGCACTTTAGAAAAATCACCTTGGCAGTAGTGTAAGGATGGATGAAAGGGGGTCAAGTCTGGAGACAACCACTAGAGACTTCATTCTATATCCAGAGTTAAATAAGGACATATTATCATATAGATAATCTACTACAGAACCAAGGATCAGAACTAAAAATAATAATGCTTTAACAGATAAAGCTAAATTATACAAAGAAAATCATCTACCTACATGAATCTATATTCTGGAATTAAATACTTGTCATGTATCTTTAAAAAGAAGAGGCTTCTAAAATTAGGTATAATATGTAAAAATTACATGGAACTATTTGTATCCTGAGAACTAGCTATTCTTAAGGTATCTCTTCCTTTTTGTACATATAATACTGCAGACTTGCAATATAAAAACTCTATGTATAGATGTGTGTGTGTTTATATATCCTTTATACATATTTTATGTATTATACATATTATATTCATATATATGTATACAACGTATAACATACATATATGTTATATATGTATATATGATTAAAACAAAAATATATATATATATCTAATGTATGTATGTATGTATAAGTCATATGTGTATATATGAAAACTGGGGCCCTGAAAGACTAAGGAATTATCCAAGGACACACCATGAGTAGCACAGTGTTCCTTTCTAGAAACTGCTTTAGTATATCACATTTATGATTCTAGAACTCTGAATGATAATTCAAAAGACACTTTGACACTTTGGTACTGTCATTTTCAGCAGTGTAATAATGAAACTATAAAACTATTTTTATGGTTTGTATGCTTCACAAGCAAAATGTATCTATTAGATGTGTATATGTTTGACAAAAAGAAACTTCCTGAAGCCTGTATCACAATAAGAATACCTATTCCCCCACCCTATTCTTCTCTAGGAATCTAAAGATTTCCTTTTTCCAACTCAGGAAACAATTAAATTTGATAAAAGAAAGTCCTAAAATTAATTTATCTTTACATAACTAAATATCCAACAACCTTAAAATGTTTTAACATTTTCCTTAGGTCTATGTCTTTTCTTATTTTGCAGTGCCACCACCCCACCCTGCACCCCCTTATAATTTTCAGATACTTGAAATACTCTTTTCCTTCATTAGTATACACAGGTGGAAGTGGTAACTGACAAAAGCCTTATAAATACTGTACATTTCACCAATTTGCATAGTGACTGAAATGTTTTAATTTGGGGGCTTCTATAACTGGTACTTAAAAGTAATGCCTGTTCATTGAAATAGATTCAAGTAATATAAAACTATAAAACTAAACCACTGTCTTCTATTCCTCTGCAGCTCCCTCCTGAAGAATCATCCAAACATGGTTAAGTCTGATGTGTATCCTTATAGACTTTTGTATGCTTACACAGCACAAGCATCTACAAACAGTCAACATATATTTAACACCTAAAACTCTACTGATCATTTCTTCTTTAACAATTCAGAAGGCAGTTAACTATTTCGCTTTGGTTTCTGATGATCACAACAGATATCAATTGTATTATCATTCAGGGGTTATTTAAAAAAAAAAAGAAGAGCTGAATCTCAAGTATCCTGTGTATTTCTTCCTTAGCAGCATCACAATTTTTTAACTGTATTTGTTGTCTTCCTCTCTCTGTTGACTTAGAGAGGAAAGTCACATGACAGCTTTAATCAGTGTATCTCCAAAGCTGTGACACCTAGCAAATAATCAAATATTTGTTGACATATCAGTCAATGCCTTACTTAGAAATCATGAAAGCTCTTTTTAAAAAAAAAAAAAAGTTCCTGAAACCTGCTTAATTTGTTCTTTTTCTCCCAAAAATAGTCAGGAAAAATAAGATCTGCTTAAGGATTTGGGGGCTGTCATTCCAATCGAAATATCTGCTCAAGCAATCAGTTGTGACAGCTGTAAAAAGTCAACCAGGTTATTTTGGTCTGAATAACAACAACAACAAAACTTATGTTAGTCCCTTCAAAGTATTAAATATTGCTGTGTGGGATTCCCTCGTTTTTCAAAATGACGTAAAAATTCCAAAATTAAGTACATTATCCCTAATCTGTCAGATCAGAAGAAATGACATCTTTTTAAAAAGTATGTCTAAGAGAACTGGCACGTTGACTCATGCCTATAAATCCCAGCACTTTGGGAGGCTGAGGCTGGAAGATCACTTGAGGCAGGAGTTCAAGACCAGCCTGGGCAACAGCACAAGACCTGGCCTTTAATTAACTGAATAAATAAATAAAATTAGTCAAGCAAATGCCATGTAATTCCAGCTACCCCACTGGGGGTGGGGATGGGAATTTGAACTGGGAGGGATGCTTGAGCTCCTGAGGTCAAGGCTGCAGTGAGCCATGACAGCGATGTCACAATCCAGCCTGGGAGGCAGAACCAGTCCCTGTTTCAAAACAAACAAACCAAAAAACAAGAAAAAAAAAAAAAAAAACCTGACACGAAGAAAAACTAAGGCAGGCAAAATTATTTGGTTTGGTATACTCATATTTGTCTGTTATCCCCAGATTACACATTTACAGAATAGCTCTGTATACGGACTTCACTGCCTACCACATTAAATTTCATATACAGGCCTCTGTGATAGAGCAACTAACCAAAAGAAATGTCAGGCAAACCCACAGGCTTTCTGTCCTATACAATTTTTTTTAACCAATACACATAAATACATATCATTTCAGGAGGCTGAGGCAGGAGAATTGCCTGAACCCAGGAGGCGGAGGTTGCGGTGAGCTGAGATCGCGCCATTGCACTCCAGCCTGGGTAACAAGAGCGAAACTCCGTCCCCAAAAAAAAAAATAAAAATAAAAATAAATAAATAAATAAATAAATCTCGCCCAAGCCTGCGCTAGTTACCAAAACCTCTGTAATATCCAAGGCTAAATACACTTTTACAATGCAATAAAACTGCTAAGTAAGATTCTCTTAAAGACCTCGATTAACCATCCTTACAGGTCACAGAAAACGCTTTTGCAGAGCTCTAGCTTTGAGATTTCAAATTCCATTGTTTTCTGGAAGTTGAATTCGAAGTTAACCCTCTCAACAAATGCTTTTCAAAGGACAGAAAGACGCCAGACAGAACACGCTTTCCAGCACTACCTGACTGCCTAACACTCACTCAGGCAAGACTTCAGAACAGATCTAATAATGCAGGATCAGCAAGGCAGACCGCCACTTAGAAAAGCAAGCCAAAATCAGTCTTCCCTACCCTCAACAGATTCCAGTTGCTCAGGAGCTGTATCCACGCTCAACCTGCGGACACTGGCCTCTTAAAGAACCTGCAGACCAAATGCCCACCTAAGGTGCTGCCACTCTAGCTCCCTGAGCCCCAGCGAGACCAGCGTGGCCCCACAGGGATCCCGGGGCAGAGAAAAGAAAACGGCAGAACAAATGCGCTGCTTCTTCAACTAGGCAACAACACCGATCAATCGTCCAACTAAGCATTGAGTAAACCTCATCCAGAGAGAAGGAGACCTGAACCAAAACGTTTCAGGATGTTGCCCAGCCGCAGACTGGGCGGGCTCGCGGTGGCACTAAAGCCCTCTTCCGCCCACAGTGGACCCAGCGCCCACTGAGCCGCGCCCACCCCGAGAGATCGCCCGGGGACCAGCTAACTCGCCCCGTCGCCTCCAAAAGACTGGAGACCATGCCAAGTTACCGCCCCCCTCTGGGCAAAGCAGAAACCCCGGTACAGACGCTGGTCGCCGCCGTACACCCTCAGCCCCCAACAACCCCGGAAGGCGGCCCCGGCCCCCGTGGAGCGGATCCACAGCTCTCAGAGACGCCGATGAACAGACCCCTGTCCCCAGAACCCGGACACCCCGCTTCTTCATCCCAGCAATGCGAAACGGACGCTCACGTCCGCTCAAAGAACCCACAAGACCCTAACGGTCTGCCTCCAGAGGCAGGGTTTACACCGGTGTAAACCTTGCTAAACTGCATTCTCTGCCCCCAAAGAGCTTCGGACCCGGATAAAAGGACCCCTTGTCCCGGAACCCCGCGACAGCACCTCAAAGAAGCCCAAGACCCTAATAAATCTCCCTCAACGTCAAAGACCCGGGACCCCGAGTGCCGCCACCCACCCCCACCTCAAGCCGGAAGAGCCCCCAGGACCCCTAAGAAATTGCCCCCTCACCTCTGGAGCTCCGGCACCCGCTAACACCGCCCCTGGGCGCCCGCGCCCGGATCCCACTGCACCGCCCTCTCGCGCCCCGTACTCCCAAACACCGGCAAGCCTCGCGCCCACCAGGCAGCGCCGCGCACCCCCGGAGCCGCCCCCGTCAGGAGCCCGCCTGCCCCGGCCGTTCCGTGTCCCCGCTCCCCGACCGCTTCTCAGCCGCGACGCGCTCCGCGCTTTCTAACCTGAGCAGCGTCGGAGGGCGAGCAGACCAGGGAGCCCTGAGAAAGGGAAGGAGACGGCAGGCAAGGGACGGCTCAGGCCTGCGGGGCTGCAGCTCCAGCCTCTCAGCTAGGAAGCGCTCGTGTGAGAAAAGCCCTCCCGCTCCGCGCCAGGGAGACCGACCCACCGCCGTGCCCGCAGCTCTTCCCGCGAGATCCCAGCCACGGGGAGGGGCGGGGCCGCGGCAGGGGGCGGGGGCGGCAGCGGCAGCTACTCGAGTGACAGTCCTGGCAGCCTGTCGGCGGCGGGACGGGAGGCAGGCCCCGGAGTCTACTACGACCAATTGCAAAAGAAGAAAGGCGATGCGCCCCGCCCCTTCTCCGCCCCTCCTTAATAAACTGAGCAAAGGCCGTAGTGACCTGAACTAGTAGGAGGCAGTGGACGTTGGCGGCGGGGTTGACGTGCTTGGTTTGTGTGTGGTCCAGCCAGGCCGCCGTAGTTACACCTGGTTTGGGAAGAAGGCTGCTCTTCACAGCGGTGTAAACCGAGGCGCGGTTACCCTTGGTTACAGCGTTGTCTGAAGTGCGCAGGGGGTTCCCATCTTCCAGGTTGCCCACCCACTCCGGTTACCCGCGTCTAAACCTCCGTTTAATTCCTTTCCCCGATTTTGGCCTCTCCTCCCTCTCCACCTTAAACAGGGCACCATTGTTAAGATGCCCATGTTTTTCAAACCCCGACCCGGGACATCTGGTCTCACAAAGGACTCGTCTGATGACTGTATTTATTTCTACTTAGTAAATCTCGAGTTACCAACATAACAAATTCCAAAAGTACATGAAAAGTCGTACCTTTATAGACCCCAGTGCCCAGTAGTATTTGGCGCACGCAGGGCACTGAATAATGTGAAAGGAATAAATGAAGACTGTTATACTTAAATATGTGAAATCTGGGCCTGGCCCCAGAAAATACGGCTTTCCTAGCCTTTCCTCTATAATGGCAGCCAATGGCTTCACACTTAAGTCCAGTCTTTTCATTATTATACCTATCCTGTAGCTTCATTCATCTTCCCTTCTTCAGTCCCTTACCCACAGTAAGAAGTGTCCTTTCTCCTCAAGTTTAACCCCTGCACCTGTGCACTCTCAGCCATTCCCAGATTTTATTCAGCTATTCTTTCCCCATTATTAATTTCTTCCTCTAACCTAAATTCTGTCTCCCACATAGTCTCACACATCCTTTGAACAGAACAAAACCACCCAATCTCTTCCACCCAAACTACCTTCTCCTTCTCATAGGAATCACCCTTCTTGAGAAACATTAAAGTCTATTTTCTGCTGGACACTGTGGCTCATAACTGTAATCCCAACACTTTGGGAGGCCAAGTTTGGAAGATTGCCTGAGCCCAGGGGTTCAAAACCAGCTGGGAACAGAATGAAACTCCCATATCTACAAAAAATACAGAAAATTAGCCAGATGTGGTGGCACACACCTATAGTCCCAGCTATTGGCAGGGGTTGGGGGGACTGAGAGGATCGCTTGAGCCTGGGTGGTTGAGGTGGCAGTAAACTGTGACCTTACCACTGCACTCCAGCCTGGGTCATAGATTGAGACCCAGTCTCTAAATAAATTAATAAAAGTATATTTGCTGTCTCCACTTTCTCATCTCTTCTTTTTCCCACTACAGTGTTGCTTTTGCTCACACAATCTGCTATTCTCTCAATGGTTACAAAAGACCTCTTTCCTCCTGGAAGAATGGTCTATTTTTGGGTCTCTTTCTCGGTGACCTGTCTCAGCTTATTGACAATGTTGACATCTCTTCCCTTAGTAGCTGTCTAACTACATTCTCCTGATTCTTTGGTGACTCTTCTTTTTTTTTTTTCCTGTCCCCTGTCCTGGTTTGAAAGCTTGCATATTTATGTCTCCTTATCTTATAGCCACACCTTGTGCATCACAGGAAAAATGGCCACACACAGTTGCACACTTTGAGTGCCAATAAGTGGCTGAGACAAAAGCTGTTAGAATAGTCCAGAGGGAGGAGACATGGCTGTGAGGCTTGAGCTGGGTCCTAATGAAACAGTAGGTTGGCCATATAATGCAAGGCAGAAATGGAGGCCTTTCAGAGGAGAAAAATAATGTGAACCTGAGCACAGAGAAAAGGATGTGGCTGAGCCTGGGCTGTGGATTGACGGGTTTGACAAATAGAAGATTCCTGCCGAAAAGTAGTGGGAGGTAAGATTAGAGAAAAACCAAATAGTAAAAGGCCTTAAAAATCAGGCCAAGCTGATTTGACTTGGATTCCATATTAAATGGGGAACGGGGACCAATTTTAATATTTGTAGCGCCCATGAGAAGGCCACACATGGAGACCCAAACACCAAATGTCTAAATATATAAAAGTTAAAAAGCTAACAAACGGTGAACTAAAAGCGTTGTATCCTTTCACCTTGACAAATATACTATCACAACAACTTGGAAGACCCAGTTTGAATTGAGAATTTTGAGACTTCTCAGAGCTCCTTGCTGGAACAAGGCAGGTCAGAGAGAGCGGGTCCCCACGTGGTGCAGCCTTTCCCCCTTTGCTTCCCGTGGCCCCTTCAGCCCTACAGTGCCGGGTACCTCCATTCCACAAACACTCAGCCCCCATGTCCAAACTCCGTCTTCACTCTCTTCCCTCCAAAACAGTCATTTCTTGGCTATTCCACAGGTCCAGGACGCACATCTCAGGATGTAGGGGAGAAGCTTCTGCAGGCTCTGGAAGTGGCTTAGGGCCGTTTGGGTAGGGAATACTGGCTCCTGGGTACCTGATGTGGGGCCTGAAGGGGTACAGTCACCTCCAGGTGGATGCATTTCTTGGCTTAATGGTCTCCTCCTCAGATGTAGAAACACAGATGGTGAAGGGCCGGAGCAGAGCCTTTAAAGGGGATCCCTGCCTGCCTGCATCTAAAGGTGGTACCAGCAGAGCCACTGAATTCCTTGGTAGGGTAATGACATGTAGAGTTGACCTACATCTTGAAGTATAAATCTGTGCATTTTCTATGTTTCCCAACCCCTGTGCACGGGAGTCTTAATAGCAAGAATGTACTGGAAAGACTCTATCGTTATATGACATCTTTTCTTCAATGCTCGGTTTCATAAGTTATACCATTCTATGATTCCCTTGTTACTTAGTGTATCGGAAACCTGGTAGTCTCGAAATGTGAGGAAATAGCAAAGTTATAAAGTGCTCGCAGCCTGGAGTCAAGCTTGGAACACTTACATTTGACTTCTAGATAAAAATGCTTTGGAAGTAGAAGTTTTTGAAGAGGCCCATTTGAAGGGTACACAGGCAGTAAGAGTATTCAAAAGGCAGCGAGCTGTCACAGAGTGGGGCACCCCTCTCGGCCATCTGTCTGTATGGTGCGATGCTTCACTCTGTGGTCTGACAGTCATGCTCTGTTCCCGCAACCTCTCCATCTGGTACCAAATGTTCCCTTCCTCATGTTGTGCGCGTAGAGCCACCGAGGGGCCAGAACCACTGTGGTCTCCGTTTTTGCTATCCAAACCTAGAATTCTGCCTGTGGATCCTGTACATCGCTCAGTGGTGCTGCGGATAATTTTAGTGTGAAGCTTTGGCACTTGCTTGATCCCAGAACTGGGATCTACTTGTAGCCTCCCTGTCACCATCTGTGACTGGCCTTTGCCAACCAGCAGAATAGAACTAGCTAGCTTCTTACTCAGGTCTTACCATCTGCTGCCTCCATTCTGACCTATTAGTCTAGGTGAGTACAGCCAAGCAGCTCTATCTCCGTTCTGAAGCCTTCCTGGTGTCCCATTCTCTGAGCACTGCCCCAGAAAAGCTACCTCCTGGCCACTGCATATTCACAAGGGCACAGAAGACAGTATTGTTTAAAAATCTGGCTCTCTCAGTCGGAATTTCCACTTCATCCTTTTAGAGCTTTGAGGAGCACCTATTTGGTTAGGTTGGAAGCATGAAATTCTGTGTGAATTACCTCAAGATTGAGGGAACAGTATTTACCTGTTCGTATGCTGACTCCAGACTAAACCCCTGACCTTGGTTTGTTTGTTTGTCTGTATGTTTGTGTTTTGCAGATAGCCAATCATAAAGGAGGGAAATCAAGAGAACAGTGGCAGTTTAAAAATATGTCCCAAAATTATTTTATATACCTTCTCTCAAGAAGTGGGGCTCAATTCCCCTCCCAGAGTATGGGCTATACCTAGTAACTGAGTTCTAGCAAGTAGAATATGGCCAAAGTGACTGCTTCTAAGACAAGGTTATAAGGCATTGCAGCTTCTTCCATGGTCTCTCTCTCTCTGATCACTTACTCTGGAGGAAGCCAGCTGCCATGCCATAAGGGCCTTCAAGCAGGGGCTTCCATGAGCAAGAAACAGGCTTCCAGCCAATACCTATGTGAATAAGCCATTTTGAAAACCCCAGTCCAGCCCCAGAAAAGCCTTCCGATGTCTACAGCCCCAGGCCAACACCTTGGCATAACCTCATGAGATGTCCTGAGCCAGAACCACCCAGCTAAACCTCTCCCAGATTCCACACAGAAAATGTGTGAGATAATACATGTTTATTGTTTGAGGATACTTCATGTCAGGATCACTTTTTACACAGCAATAGATAGCTAATACAAGGGTGTTGAGTGTAGTTCAGTCTACTCCTGCTCCTGGTCAAAAGATGTAAACATTTACATCCTTCTAATCGACAGGCCCTAGCATTATGTAAAGAGCAAAGGACAATGGATTTGTAGCCATAACTCTTTACAACTGAAACTCAAGTGGTACTGCACCAAAAGAAAGTAGAAGCCATTTCTTGGTGGAAACAAAGATTCCAATGCCTTCAGACTCTTCGAAGCATCACAGCAATTAGAGAGAACAATAACTGTGGAGCTATTTGGAGATAGTGAACAGTAGGTGTTGAGGACCAGAGGAAACGTTCTCTCTTCAAAGCTTAGAGCGCTTCATAACCATACTGTTTTCCACCAGTCTTGTGGGAAAGTATGTTTTTATGAAAACAGAGGAGAAAACTCAAACATCCTGTTACCCATTCATGTTAGCTAAGAATAAAAAGGGGAAAATTCCATTTATAAGGACTCTGTCGAAATAGAATTGACATCCTGACAACATTAAAGTGCCCACATGAGAGCAAGAGGTGTTTGAGCAGCAAGAAGATTGAAAGTCTTTCTGAATATAATACTGTATTTCTGAAGTCTTATCATTGTGA